AGGTCGCTGTGAATGCCTTTTCAATAAAAAGTAGGTCATTTGTTTCTTTTTTGGTTGTTCTAGCCGGTTCACACTGTCGGCTCTAAGACGTCTTTATATGTTACTGCGCAGTTGCCTAGCGATAGTTATTTAGCGCAGACTGCGGTTACTAGGTCCTGGCTTTGAACCTGGGGAGGGCAATAGTTATTTCGATGTAAGGCATTTTTGAAGAACAATACCAACCGAAGTTTGATGGCAGGAATTATTGGATCGAAGATGACGTTAATTTGTCAGTTCGGAATGGTAGTCATAAGACCTCACCGACCTGTCTAGAACATGATGGACCTCTCATTTGGGTGTGCAGTAGCAACACGCTTGACTGTTCTCCTTAGTCATGCTTTTTTCTCTATGAATACAAACAGTAATATTTTCAGCGAAACATCGTAATCTCGTAATCCTCTGGGAATTATCCAAGCTGTCAAAATGATGACAGTTTCCTTTTTTAATCGCCTCTTTTTTTGACAGTCGGATTATGATGTTGGGATAATTGCGTTGTTATTACTCGACTAGGGGCGTCCGCGGTGTTGCTTGCGTTACGGTATACCTTTCTACTCATAACTCCGTACGTCTATTCCTATATTAATAAAACCACTGAAAGTCACCTCGCGGAAGGAAGAGTTTACCACACGTTTATTATTATCGAGCCACACCTCCCTTTTAAAAGTTAACAGAATATCTTCAATTTTATATTTTTGTGAATAATAATATAGAAAAAATAATAATTCTCTTACTATCGGTGACAGACAGAGAGCGAAGGCTTACCAATAGGCTACTTCTTGGCGCAACCCTAAAACGTACACTAGAATGGAATTTACACGAAGGATAATCTTTAACGCAAGTACTCTCAAAAAACAAAGAAACTAAGGCTTTCATAAAAAAATAATGTACGCACAACTTTATGTTACGTGTTTTCAAAATTAATTATATTATATTTTCGAAATTCAACAAATCTAGGTGATATTATAGCTATATAGATTTACCACTTGTTTATCAAGATCGTTTAAGCCGTTTGGTCGAGAAACACACAAAAACATTTTTTTTTTTCAGAAATAGTCATAGGGCAAATACACGTTTATCGGTCTTTCCTGTAGCCAAATGATTAAACGTCTTGCATAGTATTGCGTTAAGCGCGTAAGGCAACTATTTGCCTGTAAAAGAACTTGAGATATTTTGCCCAAAGGAAAAGTGGTCTCATTTCTTTAGCGTCCGACATTTGAACGTGGAACCTCCAACGCAAAGCATAAAACACATGGAACTACTGAGCCAGGTGCGAGCTACAGCGCAGCCATACAAAGGCATATTGAATCAAGGGTGTCATTATGACGCCTATTCCCTGCGAAGGGGTTAATCCCGGTTAATCCCCCGGGATATCCCGGAATCCGAACTGACGTGACTTTCAACAGTCGCCGAGTAAGCCGTGACAAAAGGAAATTCAAAGAATAGAATTTATTTATCAGCTACTTGGGATTGTAAGCGATATAACATTTTCGTGGACCTTTTTTCACTATTTCGCAGGCTCAATAGTAGCAACGAATGGCTAATAGTCAAGTTGTTGTATGTTCGATTCCCACCCAGTCTTAACATGTTTCTCAACTTACAACATTTCTGAAATGTGTTGGATTTCGGCTGGAAATCTGGATATTACATGGATGGAAGGAATATCACAATTTTGTCCAGATTGAGAACCGCCGTCTAAAAGCTGAAGGTTAATCGCGTTTCGGTTTAAGTCTTTGGTTAAGTATTTCCGAATATCCGAAGCCAAAACAGGTCGACAGAACTTTTATTTAAACGCTATGTGGCAGGTTTTTCACGTTTTATCAAGTGAGTCTTTGAAAGATTAATTTTGTAGTGATACAGATAACGAATAGACATCGCCGTATTATTCATTAATACATTTAGATAGTGTTAGTTACAACGAACCACATATTTCTATAATATAATACCTCCTATGTAAACTTGAATTTAGAATTGAAAATTAAATAAAACACACCGGACCAATAAATTTCCCCAGCGGTAGAATTATTTCCGCCACAGTTAACATTCAAAATTAGTTTTTCCCTTTTTCCACGAAATTTTCTCGCTTATGAAACAATAATGTTACTTTGATTCAATCGGAGGCTAACAGGTTTTTTAAAGAAAAATAGAGATTCGTTCACCTATTAAACGAACAAAAACCTTTTCTACGTTTTCGAATTGTTCGGTCCAACCAGAAGATGTGTGTTTTACGAAGTTCCTTGACGTCTATTAGTTATTGCTAAACGTCGAGATCAAATAGTCAACTACGACGGTCGATCTTTTTATCATAGCTGACTCAGAAGCATGTGGTTGACACGATAGAATGTGAAATAAGCCAACCATGTAGTATTCATACAAAGCGCTGTCAACCTATTTTGGCTTTGGATATTCGGATATCCACAGACTTAAACCGACACGCGATTAAACTTCACGGTTCATCTGTGGGCGGAATTTTCGATGGTCCCACCACCCTTTTGATATCCAAATGTCCAGACAAACATTTCAAAATGACCTTGAAAATCGTACCTGAAATTTGTAAATAAAAAATCTATTTGAGATTATGTTTACAAGCGTTGAAACTTTGTTATCTTAATGATTTCCTTGGCTACAAAGAATAGGATTTTATTAATAGGTAATTGTTAAGGTTGAAATTAGACAGCGCGAAACCACTTGTATATATAGTACGGGTCCTAGCTTCAGGGTTTTTTCAGATACACCGTGGTGGCAGATAGCGAGCAGTGTTAGTTTCGTTTATACCTGTTCAGCGGAACCCTAAAAAGCGGTACAAGTAGCACACAGAAACAACATAATTTCGCACGCAATGCTGCAAGCTTCGTTCAGTGGCATGCAAATCCGCGGCATACATTATGTATGTGACCTGGATTCATAATTGTTAAGGGCGCTTCACACCGCCGGCTTTTCTGAGTTTTCAGCGGCGGAACGCTCATCTCGTATGCTGTATCTATAATTTACGTCACGTGATTCTATAATTTCTTATCTATAGTGACATCGGAGATTTAAAAAAAATCATCAATATAATTTTTATATTAATAACGTTTTCTTCTCTACGGTATGTTTTACGAAGGGGATATAATACAATTTGATTTTTTTAAATATTGTTTTTAGTTTATGTTTGTATTCTAATGATATGAATGAACAAATCAAATCACATAATTTTGTCACACCATTAGTTTCATACAGATGACGCGGGAAAACCGCGCTCGAAACATATAAATTAAACGGTCGCATTTAACAACGCCGCTCGTGTGAAACGCCATAACGCTTCAAATCATTAATTAATTAAAGGTATAATTCGTAAAATTAATGTAAAAATTTTCCAGTAAATAATACATTTAGGTCTGCATGAAATATTTCTCTAATTAGTTTACATTCGTAATTTGACTCGGTGCCAATATGTAATAACAATTAATGGGCTGTGAAATCCATTAGTAATTACGTAGGGAAGCGATAAGACACACTTTTGTGTCCGTTTTAACATCTCGCTATGAATAGAAACGAGGCAATTGACTACAATCACAAACATCATGACGTAAAAAACTATTTTGTCTTTTTTTATACTTTAAATATATATACAAAATCATTCAACATGGACCCTGGTCTATATGGTACAGCTAATAATCAGCGAGTACATGGTTCGATTCCTGCCAAATCCAAAGTGTCAACGTCTATCTATTGATCTTATTTATAATTCCTCTGTAATATTTGTCTGGAAAATTTTAATGTCAAATCACCTTTTCCACATGGAAAAGACTTCATTTGTAAGACAGCAAATCTAAGGCAATGACAACGCATCTTGTTTATATAGTTCTTTTATTTTACCTTACATCAAGCGAACCTCATGCTGGTGTACCCTCGTGTCTCCCTCTGTCGCCCAGCTTGACATTTTTCTTATTTGAAAACACAGGTATCATCGACGGTTGAAGTTAGTCTTTGCATACTCTGAGTTAAGGATATAGAATATTATAATCCGATGTACCTACGCCTCGATTCAATTTCGTTGCGAGTGTACGCTTAGGGTTGTCACTTTTCTATTTAAAGTAAATAACACTAATGTAATTTTCTCCTACTAAAATTATATACGAGATTTGTTGTGACAAATATTTATATAGTTAATCGATTTTGAGTAATTTGCTTTCAACTCTGAAAAGTTAAGGCTTATGCATCTAACCATGCAAAACATGCATCGTGGTGAGTCTAAGCTCTTAGTCTCTCTTCTACGTAGAGCCAGCTGTAGGACATATCAATGTCCCACTCACACACACAATCATGAGGTAGGTTGAAACGACCGTTATAATTACATATTATACAATACCAATTTTCTTGAAATAATGTCCGTAACCTTCGAGACGTGTACATTTGAGTATTATTATAGTTTATGGGTAGCCTTAAGCCAATGAATGTTATTTTATTTAGCGTACAATTTACGGAACCAACCAATAAATAATACTTCCCAGTAGCGACTGAAGTATAACGGGTCTTATTTCTCATTTTATTTTATATATTAGATTTTTTTTAAATTTGTAATATTTCTACTTGTGCCAACCCTACGCCAGTTAAAAGTAATCAATAGTTTCCAACAGACGAATTGACACAGGTATATTATCCATCTCTCTCGCACCCGCAGCGATATTGTATTCTCATCTCGCTCGCTATGAGTGCAGTCTGATATTAAGTGCTTTTATGAGCGGAGCAAGAATACTTAAAGCCCGACTTCCTGACATATCTGCGTAATTAATGGAGTAACAGCCGATTTCAGAGACGTGGATAAACATTATCTAATTAAACGCAAAAAAATCGTGTAGGTATGTTGGATGCTAACACTGTTGGATAAAAACTTATGTAGTACGAAACCAAAAAAAATATTTAACGGTAAGCTTCTAGCAAATGGCTGTTGGGTCTGTTTTAACAGAATTTCCCTGTTTCAGAACACTACCACATCTTCGTTGGCGACCTAAGTCCAGAAATTGAGACGCAAAGCCTTCGGGATGCCTTCGCACCGTTTGGGGAAATATCGTAAGTAAAACGAATCCTAGAAAAGCACAAGAAAGCCTAATTAAAAAAGTATTAGAAAAAAATCCTTGATCTAGGCAAAACCTGAAACTACGACCACACTTCCCCCCTTTTACGAATGTTTAAAACGATCAGGTCTTGTGCTCTTACGCAAGTTTAACACTTCTTAGACATTACAAAGAGGTTCATAACGTTGCTTAAGAATATTATACTTCAAAAAATATATTGATATTATAGTTATATACTAACTGTTCGGAATGAAAACAAATTGAGGGTAGTTTAGTTTTTTCAAAACAGCTTCCAAACGCGTAATCGAGCAAGCTTTTTTATATTTGACAACAATTAGGAATATAAAGTTTTAACACCTGGGGAGACTCCGCTTTATTGTTCTCTAAGTTTCCATAAGTGCAATTTAGGTGTTTACTTTTCGTTAAAATCGGTATAAGCTGTGCTGACGTAAGTTAATACCCGATCCCTGGGCGCACTTTACTCCCAACTAGCTGGCCAGCTGAGTTCGCAGTGCACGCAACGGAAACTTCAAAGATGAATAAAATTCCCCATTTTATTCCACATTTCCTACGGTTTCTTGAGCGTGAGGTTTCATAGAGGTTTGAAAGTACTCCTCGAAAAATGCCTTAACTAAATAACTTCAATCGTTGATCCATTGAATTCGAACCTGTATTTCCCGAGATAAGTGCGTTCAAACAAACAAAGTCTTCAGCTATATACTATAAAATATAATGTTGTATGTTAAGATGTAAAATATATACTATATTTGTAGACTTATAGCGGGTCACCCTGCACACTAAATTGCCTCTAAATCGGCTCGAGGAAAAATTGAAAAGGAAAAATGTTTACTTATTTATAAGCATCCGACTAAATTTCCCGAAAATAAATCGGCGTGTACGCTCTATCCCTGTCTAATTCATAGGAATCGGCAGCTATCTCGCTCGCACTAATAGTCCGGTAAAGTAGAGTATAAAATTTTACGATCCTTTGAAGTTTAGATAAGAGCGTTCTATTCTGTAATGAAATTTTCTTAATTATGTAAAAAAAATGCATATTTTTTTCCGTTATATTTGTTTTAATTTGCATTCGACGTAATATAATGTTGTAAAACAAATGGTTTATAGTCGTTCTCCCCTTTAAAAGTTTGTCTGATAAGATATATATTCTTTTTGATTTAATTGAAATTTAATGCATATATAATTATGGAATGGTGTAGTACTTTATGGCTAATTGTCAACGGGTCGTGGTCGACTTCCACCGAGACAATATGTTTTTAAATTGTGTAAGGCTTTCACTGCCATACTTCAGCATCATTGTCTTTCGGGCTGTTCGGTCAATGTGAGCGAGAAGAGGTTCTCGACGTTTCGCCATCACGTGTGGACGGCATCATCAGGAGTCACTCTATTGCTCGAAGGATTTTGATTAGAATTATTAATAATTTCGTTGAGATTAGAGATTGGGCAATACTGAACGAGTGAGTTAACATTCATACGCTATTAACTATATATTGTCTCTCGACGACTTATAACAACTACTCACACAAAATAACATTAAAAAAGTATATAATTCAGAGGAGAGACTTTTGGCCAAGTTTTTGTATGACGTTGGTGCTATTGACTGCGGAAGCTTAAGCGAACGCGTTTTGTGTTTTTATTTTGTTCCTTGTGAAATATTGTCAACGCGGTCCTATAGTCGATTTGAGTCCCAGCTAAAATGTTAATTCGACCAAGGGTTTGAAAAAATGTTATTGAACATATTGGGACTATATAAATTAAAAATAGATTTTACTTTGCGCAAGAGGTGCATGCATCAATAGTTTGAAAAAATCGACGATGTCGTATAGTATACGGTAACTCAATTGTTTAGAACAACAACACGGAGGGCTGCGGATGCCGGTTCAAGTCCTGCCTCGTGTCGTATTTATTTAAGCAAAGTCAGTTTTTTAACTGTTTGATTAAAAATGAAAACGTCCAGTAAGACAAACATAAAAAAGGTTCTCTTGTTGTCTTTTGTGATTTTAGTAAATTAACTAATTTTTCGATACGTAAACTGGAGGGTTACCATTTTTAAAACAATATTTTATATCTATGATAGTAGCTAGAAATTGTATTCATGATGTGAATTAAAATCTATTGATAAGGCTTATCGACAATACTGCTGTTATTGACACATTCAAGTGGTGTGAATGTATAGAAACATTACTCTAAATACTGTCTGTAGTTTGTGCGAGTAGTACATATTTGAATAAAAAACTTTAACGGTTTAAATAACGATATATTTTACTTAAATTACTTTACTTAATTACTTGGTAACGGGAAGACCACGGCTGCTGCAAAGCATATAAAATGTCGGGCCGTAGTAAAAATAATTGCCAAATAAACCTTTTTTTTTAAACATTACCTTTTCTTATTTTAATATTTTGTATAATTTAAATGACATATCTTCTTTAAAATGTACAAAACTACAATGACATTGTTTGCATCATTAAACAATAACAGAATTGTCTGTACCTTGTTTTTGTTTCATTAATTAATGACTTTTCTTATCCGTATTTTAATAAAAAGTGGCCTCTTTTAGACCGTCCGCGTCCTCTGCTAAACGACCATTGGCAAGCTTGGACGTAAAAAATATAATTTATCCGCGGACAGTTGGGCGCCACGAGACTGGCTCTCATCCAGTTGTCTTGCGATATCTTGCTTTATTGCTCCCAACAGATTGAGAACAATATCGCTATATTAATACAATATTTGTATACTCTGTATACGTATGTTTACATAAGGACAACGGCGATCTGTAAATACGGTTAGATTGTAAAATATCTAGCGACGTCATAAGATCGTCTAATGTATAATATTAGCTAAAGAGTTTGTTTGTTTAAACGCGCTAGCCTTGGCAATTAGTGATTCGAATTGAATTGTTTTTGTATTTGTTACATCATTTATCGACGAAGGTTTTGTCGCGTATGAAATATCTATGAAAGAAAGATTCCTCTAGGAGTATGTCTATCTTTTAAGATTTAGTTACTATAAGGACGGGACGACGTCGTAGGTGACAGCTATATATAATTTATAAAGATGGCTCCCATAAGTAGCCAATTTTATTTTAATTTCTGTTACATAGCTTCGGTCATTATCGAACTCTAGAAGGTACCTACATTATCAATAGGCATTATTAGACACGCGCGCACAAACAATCCCCTCAAATTCTTTATCTTCATTGTATATTGGGTACAATTATTCTCTCTCTTCCAGTGATTGCAGAGTCGTAAGGGATCCGCAGACGTTGAAGTCGAAAGGTTATGGATTCGTTTCTTTTCTCAAGAAATCGGTAAGCTTGTAACGCACATTGGTGTAAAGAATAAGATATAGTAGATAGAAGCAAAACTCAACGACAACAATGTTAAAATCAAACAGTCGTTACAAACGACCCGTTGTTTTCTAAGAAACGTCGAAACTCAAATATTCGAATTATAAGTAGAAATCAAACTTGCAACAGTCCGCACTTCACGTAGAAGTAATTGGGCAGAGAGAAAAACCCCTGCCATCCAAAAGGCTCTTTCTGATAAGGTTGTGGTGGATTTATCATCATCTCTCATCATTTCATCACCTGTTTTTTTTTTCAGGAAGCCGAATCGGCTATCACCGCCATGAACGGACAATGGCTAGGATCTCGCTCCATCAGAACCAACTGGGCGACGAGGAAACCGCCAGCTCCGAAAAACGAGCGTAAGTACATAACAGAATCTCTCTAAATACTGTCTGCATTTTACGCGAGTAGTACACATTTATATAAAACACTAAGGTTGAAATCGCGATATATATTAGTTAAACTTATTTCGACAAATTGCTATCACTACGGCCCGACGTTTCGGATGTTAAAGTTTACTTTAGATCTTAGAAAAACTTTGGATTTTATTTGATAAGCTTAGTAAAAACTAAAGACAAATTAAAAATGTCTAAAGATTTAATAAGAAATTCGAAAAATCAACTGTCACCTGGTGATCAACTGAGCTATTTGCCGTTTACCATGGGAGTAACTAATAATAATAAATAAATCTCTTTATTTAGCATTCATTTTGTACAATAATTAGACGTAGTAAAAATAAATGTGATGACAAAAAAGTAACAATAAAAGTTAAATAATAATACTACGACAAGATTAAATTTAAAATTTTGATTAAAACTGTTTCTTAATAAACATTTACGTTTTATATAAGCTTTCATGTGCTAAAACATGTAAAAGACAAATTAATTCAATATTGACTGTATTTTAAAGAACAATATCTGTCTTGAAAGTATTGAGGATTCAACTTATATAAAATTTAATAAAAGAATTTTACATTTCAATAAAAAATAAAATACCAGAAAAAAGGGGCAAATTACCTTGAGAAGTCAGTACAAAACCTTTGGTGCCGCATTATCAAAGTACCGACGGTCACAACAAAATATGCATTCACTCTGTTTGATTTTTTATTCACTATGTATGTTTATGGTATTGGTCGGAATGCGCATAGGTCCAGTTTTTTGCCTCATAAAATTCCTAAGTGTACCTAACTACTTCGTCAAATGGCGCTAAGTCCTAACTGCAAGACGCAAGTCTTGCACGGTCAGTCTCGATCTTGGTCTTGCTAAAAATCTCTTGGTCTGAATTTAGGCAACACTAGTTGACAGCGTATCTTGTTTAGATAGCTAGGGTTACACCTACCATGTCATTAAAGAAAATTATCTGGCATAAGTATGTTTATACAAGAACAAGATGGAAGCTGAAAAAACCTAGCCATACAATATCTCATCTAGGTGCGCTATGGAATTATTATTTCTTTGGCTATTCGGAAATCCACAGACTGAAGCCGAAATGCGATTAAATATCCTTTCTTTCATATAGTGGCGGTTCGTTGCCCGATATCTAGACGGAGTCCAATATTTTTTAGTACACATATAAGTTGAAAAAAAGGGGGTTAGATAAGGGGGGTATAAAATCTATTACACATTGATTACTATTCATACATAGCTACCATTGAGCAAGTCGTAATTATAACTTATGAAGTAAGATGTTTAAAATATAAATCTGACAACTGTAAAGGAATCGCCCCATTTATGATTCAGAAATAAAGATTAAACGGAATCGTCGATGCTTTGTACCCTTTCAATCCCTTTAACTTCACGCTCCTAATAAATTAATTATAAACGCCTAGAAGGAGAAATGTTATACTGGCTGTACTACCACCGTTTTAAAAGATTTTATAATGAACCACACTAAAAACGGCGTAGTCGATCTTAAGTCTGATGTGTGATAGATTTTAAGAAGTAATAGGAAGAGTTCTCTCGTCTTTTTCTCTCAGCCCAGGAAACAGAAGTTCTCAATTCTTCTTATTCTTCCATTCCTACACTGCAATTGTGTACACAGACTGCAGACTCAAGAGTAGGTAAGTTACTTAACTTACCACTCTTGAGTCTACTCACTTGAAAAGTCAAAAATATTCTTGGTTTGGGATATTTTGCAAAAGCCGTGGTCATAAAGGGCCTGAAGTTGGAGGGTGTCCTTGATATCAAAGTCAAATCTGCTACCCTAGCGCCATCTGTTTCGTTGAAGTTAAAGTAAAATGTGATCTCGCGTAAACTACAGACAATCCTTACAAATAAGCTTTCAGAATTTCATGGTTTCTGACATCTAAGTGAAAAAGGTCTTTCGTTACGTTTTGAAGTCGAGTAACGCCAAGAGTTACCAAGTTAACGAATCGTCTTAAGATACGCTTCCCCTATAATTAAACGCCGCAAGCGCGCTTAAGCAATTTCGAATTTTATTGGGATCTATATAGAGCTGATAAAAAGTTTATAATTCTAACTACGAGCGCTGTTGATTTATCGAAATCTGTGGTTATGTAGGGTGTAATTTGCTGTTAAAAATTAGCGACGTTTTTCCAACGTATTTCTGTTTCACGGATCCATTCTTTTTTAAAGGCTCGTAGAAAATCTGATTTCTGTAAATCTATCTATTAGTTAGGTCAGGTTTCTAACGAAGGACGTTTGTGCGTAAAATAATGTGTGGCAACGCCTTTTCAAATGCAATAAAGAAAAACGTCTTTGACTATTCAAATTTTGATGTCAATGTCCCTCGTGACAATACTAACCCCAAAGGCAAGTTAAATAAATAATTATGTATTCATAGTATAGCAGCTCTATATAGATCCCCACAATTTCCGGCGAGCGCCTAATATCTTCCGGTAGGCTTCCGTTTCACTAGCTAACTAAAGCCTTACCTTCAAACGTTTATATTAATGCACGGAATCTAGTTTGTCATGATTCACAAATATTCTAAGACTAGCCGGGACCTCTCGTCATGCTAGGTTATCATTGAGCTACGTATTAGTATCTTATTGGACCTAAATTGACTCGAAAACTGACCAAAGTGTTAAATTGTTACTAACCCAACTAAAATTAAAACCCAAAAAAAAATATTATTAAAGTCTTTTGTTATGACAACCAGTTCTCCAATCGTAAGGTCGTAAGTTCGAGGTCTGGGCAAGCTTCTTAATATTTCTTTTAAGGTATACGTCAATTGCACTCTAGTAGAACTGGATTCGGCTCCCGCCGGTGATATCGCTTTGCTCTATGTTTAGAATAATTTTCATTAATAAATAATGTATTATTTCCAGTGAACTCTAAGCCTCTGACTTTCGACGAAGTATACAACCAGAGTTCCCCAACTAATTGCACGGTCTACTGCGGCGGTCTCACCACCGGTCTTTCCGAAGAACTAATCCAGAAGACCTTCCAGCCCTTCGGGACTATTCAGGAGATCAGAGTGTTTAAGGATAAGGGCTACGCATTTATTAGGTAAGCCACACGATTTGTACGCAGGCGAGAATAGAACAGCCACTCAGTTGTGTAAGCGACTTTTTAATCGTCTACTGGTGTCGCTTTAAGGTGCTTTCGTCAACTTTAGAAACTATATTTTTTTGTTAATTATTATATTGTAAGTTTTACTTATTTTGAAGGATAATTATTTCAGATTCTCGACCAAAGAGAGCGCAACACACGCCATCGTCGCTGTTCACAACACGGATATAAACGGACAACCAGTCAAGTGTTCCTGGGGGAAGGAGTCCGGCGATCCAAACAATGCGCAAGCGCAGGGCCAGGTATATTAACATCTAATTAAGGTTAGATTGAGAATTCGGAAATCCAGATCGCAGATTTAAATTAAATCGCAAAAGCAACCTTTGTCGGTCGGTAACCCTGACAAAATTGGGATATACCACCATACCATTTAGAAAATAAGGAACATATTTGGCACTGTTAAAATCAAACGTACAACCAACGTTGAAACAACGAGCACATCGATGGTTTAAATCAGTTTATGTAGCCGTACATATAATATGACCGCCTCTCTATGGTCTAGTAGTAGCCAATGCACTAGGCAGCAGATAAGGTCTTCAAGATCTACGTCTGATTCTAGGTCCGACGAAATGATACTTCAGTTTCTCGTTTTTTTATAGTACCAACCCGGATTTTGAAAGTATAGTGGATCTGAGCCCAGCTGTGGCATTGAATCGAATAATAGGACCGGTCTTTTCCAGTTGAGCGGTACAGCGTATAGTCCATTCGGTGCCGCCTACACTGGGGGAGTTCCCCCAGCGTCCTATTGGTACAACACTTACCCGCAACAACTTGGCGGCTTTTTGCAAGGCATGCAGGGAGTCCAGGGTTACTCCTACGCGGGACAGTTCGCCGGCTACCAGCAACAGTATATGGGGTGAGTTCTTAATTGCTTATGAAGACTTATAGTTAGACTTATAATTTAAGATCTCGGCGGGAAGTTCGAATAAAATCTAGCAAAATTGAAGTAACCGTCATTTTTTCTTGAAACCAGGGTTCCCGCTTCCAGCATGGGTGGCGTGCAGCTCCCGTGGGCCCTGGGCGGCGGCGTCGGTGGCGTGGGCGGTGTAGGCGGTGTCGGTGGTGTCGCAGCCATGTCACAGCCCCCGCAGGTGCTGCACTATCCCGTGCAGCACTTTCAAGTTCAGCCAGTTAGTAAAATATTACTAACTAACGGTTTAAAGCAAGAACTATATTAACCATTATTTCGGCACCACTAGCGCCAATTAGCGTTAAGCAAAGGAAACTTTGTGTTAGATCGCTAGGATCGATACGGAATCTTCCAGCTTCGGGTGCTGTGGTGGCCGAAGGCAGAACCCTCATTCTACCAGAAGATACCGTGGCATTAACTCCAAAAGATATTAAATCATATGTGTGTTTATCTAAAACCCCATAATCGTTATTTAGTGTGTGTGTGTGGATGCTGGAAGCTGCCTCAAAACCTGGTTATCTGGTAAAACTTTCAGTATTCAGTCTTGGCGATTGTGCTAAAGTTTTTTCCCTAGTGTGCAAACCGCACAAACATTCTGTAAAAACGACTGTCTCTGCTGAACTTATGTGTATATTGACTGCAGCTAAGATGGAGTACGCTGATGCTGAGCAGCATTTTAGCAAGGCCCAACATGTTGAAACGCACGACTCTGCACACAGTTATTTTGAATTAATTTATCTCTTCCAGATCGGTGAGGAGGAGTGGCTTGCTCCTAGCCTGCTCGTGTGAGGCCACCGTGCGCCCGCGCCGCCAGAATCCTGTTGCTGTCAGAAAGAGTGGATGTAACCTCTCTCTACCCTGTTTCCCCTAAACTCTATCTTCTGTGCTATTCTGAGGCTTAAGTGAAGCTTAGTCTTCTTTTACCTTTTATTTCTTTTATTGTTGTAACCTTTTTTGTAAAACTTCTGTGGTTAATATTATGTAGTCTATTTGACGGTACCCGGTGATAAATATTATACAAAATGGGAAAGAGGCGGCTGGCCGTTATAGGAATGTGCTTTCTCTATCACACACTACGTTTAGCGATAAATATTAAGTTCTGATTAGCGTTAATCTAATAATTGATGGATATAAATATTCGAGGTTATGTGTCATATTTATGGTCGGGTATTAGAAAATTGTACTTTCCTCAATTTATTTGTTACTGGAAAGAATTGCTCTTTTGTGTGAGGCTTTTTCTGATCTCGAAAGTGGGTTTTAAGCGGCGGTGATAGCGGGCGTTGGGGCTTTAGAACGAGAAAATGTGAGTCACTTGAATCTATAGTCTATGCGAGTACACATTAAAATGGAATTTCGGAATTGGCCGTCCGGCAAGGTGGCACAAGTGTGAAAATTGTCTCCTTGGTCTAGTACAGAACCGCTAAATGCGGCAAACGTCGGTTAAAAGACGTCTACAGAAGTAACTAGAGACGCGGCGTCTGGCGTGACGTCAGCGTGCGAAAGAGACAACAGCATCGCGTTTCAATCCGTTAAAGTCGTTTCATGTTAATGTGACTCTAAACGAAATACAGCTTATGATAGCATGAATGCATTTAAGATAAGAGAAATATAATACTTTTTAGAGAATATATAGTTATTTACTATAGGTCTAGGCTAGGCTAGGCTAAGTCTGACACGCGGGCCAAAACGGTTGCGACTCGTAACGACGATCTTCTAGTAACGACGAAGTACCAAAACATCTATGCACAAGTATTTACTAAGATTAGTGGAAAACAAATGTAGATTTTTGGAAAAATGTTTAATAGAGTAGCCGGTACGTGAGTGAGAGAGTTTTTTAAGATTTTATATCTAAACGGAGGCGGGGATATAATATTATGAATCTATTTGGCTGTGCTTGGTTGTGCTCGGTTGTGCTTGGTCGTGGGGCTGGTTTACTTGTCTATCTAAGAATTGGTTACTAAATGGTGTTCTTGTGTATCCTAGCAACGAAGAAACATGTAAATGACGATTTTTAAAATCTGCGATCGCATTTTGTTCCTTTTCCTCTCTGTAAATTCTCGTCGAGGGCACAACGGGGCACAGCGCGGCACACATAGATTTTCTGGACGTCAATATTGCCAAATTCATTAAACAATTCAAGTAATATAATAAAAAAAGGTTGTGTATTAATATAACGGACACTTGGAACTACAAACATGACGAAATAGAAACGTGTAGAGAACATAGATTATTTATAAGAAAGATATATTTATTATAATGATAAGGTATTTAATCGTTTACTGTAGGTGATGATGATGATGATGGTCGATGATATTTCGACTAAAAACTTTTTGCTCTTTTTTTGTGTACGCGTCTTCGTTTTTTTCGCGGCCGACGCAGCCGAGGGTAGAGTCAGACTCTGGGTGGGTTCGGCTTTGGGTTCAGAGCTAACCGATCTCTTGTTCTAACTCTACCCGCGGCAGTCGCAACAGTCGTAGCGACTCCTACGAGGTAACATCTTTTTTGAAACTTTTTAACGTGGCGTAATGTCTACGGTATTTTGTAAAAAAAAATGTATTTTATATATAATATTGTCGATGTTAATTTATGTAGATTTGTTTCTATCGATGTTATAATTTATTGTGAGTGCGCGCGAGTCGTTGGTAATGATTCACGAATTGGCGTAGCCCGTCTACGAATATTTTACGTATAAGTTAAATGTTGAAGACTTCCACTGAATCCAATGTGTTTCTAAACACGTTGGACTTCACTTGGTACTTTCGCTAGGACTCTGGACATGATTGGGCGGTAAGACTATGGCGGCGCATCTTGTTAGATATTTCACCTTCCATTGAGCGAACCCCTGGCTGTTGAGTGGAATCATCACGAACGATTCGCCCGCAAAGCCTTTGCATGTAGTCGAATCTTGTGAGACATATCGCTAGCAGTTTATATTAAGATTATATATAGAGACATTAGTCGGTTAGCTAAGGAACGAATTGGTAAGTCAATTTCAGTCAACGGTCAATCGAGTGGTATTGGTGACAGCGCGGACGGAGACGGGTGCGCGGCCACTGCAACACGTCAAGAGGTCCGACCTCGCGAACAAAGATATCACAGTTAGATAGACAAATTTAGCGATAACATACATTTAAAGCTAGACTACAGATCGTTTCGCCTATAATCGCTTTCGTAGGACACGTATATATCCATCTATGTAAGGTATAAGCTAGTTAGGGTCGCCTTCGGATCGCAGAACTCTTCCTCTGGGATAGGAGCGTAGCGTAAGTAGGCTTTCCGCGTAGTTAAGGCTAAATATTTAAGAATCGATGAAGAATATAAACACGTTAGCTAGGTAAATTTCAATATATATTAAAGTATATTATATACAAATGATATCGTCTAGATAGGCTATGAAATTTGAGTGTTTCGCGTTGCGTTCGTTGTTTTCGCTTCGTTGCGTTGTCATTCCATTGATGTTAAGATAATTAAGTCCCAAAGAACACCAAATATTTTATAATCCTTGTAATATAGTAGGATTGGCGATAGTGAACTAATTCTAATGCCTTATACTTTTGGGTTCTGTCGGCGGTCGTAGGCGCAACCGCGGGCTCGACCCCCGGCAAGAGAAGTGCCAAACCGTTGATTTAACACCTCCGTACATCGTACCGTCTATCCGAGTGAAATTTGACACCAAAACAAACTTTATCAATCTCTCTGAGAGATCTAAATTCATGTTTTGTGGCCTCGGGTCGCGGAACGGCAGACCGGGAGACACCTCGAGTGCGAATCGAACGGGATTCGATCCAAGGCCACAAGATTCCTAAGTGTTTGTAATGTTTGACTTTTGTTTTAGAAGATGCTAGAATTGATGTGTTTCGTTCGTTCGTAGTGCTCTGACCTCGAGTTTGAAGGCTGAAATCGTTTAAGGCGTCGCGCAAACTACAGCTTCAACACAAACAAATGTAGATTAAACAAACGAAGAACTTTAAACAATATTGTTTTGTTAAACTACATCAAATAATCAGTTAATCGAAACAGGCTTCGCATCTTAACTAGACGTTATAGCTTGGTATACACCTTCCGTCAAGTGAATCTCGTGCTTGAATGGAATGCTTCGGTGGAGTATTAACCAGTGCGTGTAGTAGTGGTGATGGTCTTTACTTAGACACTGGGTTTCCCTTCTCTTAGAAAAGACTGGTTCAAGTGGTGGCAGTGGAATTATTTTAAATGATAGAGAAGGACAGACTTGATGGTAGCTGATATACCCCAGCCTATAGCGTCTAAACAAGATGTCGAATTGTAAACAAACAAAGAATATCGATCTAACTAATTTCTTATCTGTGACGGATTTAAGCTCGACAACGAGAGGTCAGTTTTCAAGTCGCGTGCTTAGGGAACATAATTTCGATACATGAGAATATATTTTTCGAGATGTATAGGGTTCGCCTGTTGGCTACGGCTCTCTCCGTTTCGTTTTTGTATACTAAATGTGATTAGGTGTCCTTGTGGAATGGTATTGCATGTTTGGAGCGCTTGGGAAAGGGATTTTAAATTTTTAGAGAGATTCGTTCGCGTTAACTAGAGGCCTGGTATGAGAGTGAAATTAGTGAAATGAACGGTAGCGCCGCCTTTTAAATTGCCTACAAATAAGGTTAAACGATCCAATCTCATCTTTAGACAAAATCTAAGTAAGGTCTCTAGTCAACACGAACGGCTTTTTACTTTTATCTTGTTATATTAGTTTAAATTTTATTTTGTCCTTTCTTAGTTACCTTTCTTATTTGTTCCCTTTAAAATCTCGAACCCAAGTACTGACAGAAAATGTAATATCAAATACTATCTCATTGTTTAGACTTAATACTCTTCTGATGTCTGTTGTGAAAGTTGATTAGAAATAAACCTTCAGAGTTTATTATATTACATGGTATATTTAGCGAGATTCCGATCCAAATTCTCCATCAGAAAAAATCACATATCAATATTATTTTTTCTTGATTCTTTGTGAAACCGTATACTAAATTATGTAGGTAATAAAAAAAATCTCTAGTGACAACAGTATCAATTGGATTAAATATATGTAAGTTTGGACCACAAAAAGCAAGAAAGCCACGCGTGTTTCATCTTGTTTAGAGGTTAACATTACCTCGAGGAATTTCACCTTTCATCATCCACAGGCTACTACACTTAGCGTAACTATATCTAAATTGTGTTAAATATTTCTAATCGACTTTTACCATCCATCAAACGTATCACAGCAATAATAATGCAATAGATGTCGTAGTGTTTTCATTTTGTGTACCGCTAGTGATGTTTAATACGAACGGGCGTGGCTTGGAGGAGCTTAGAAAGATGAAGAGAATATTAAAAATCATACCAAACCTGAAGTGGCTAATATTGTGGTTAAAGAAATTGTTAATTCCATTCGAAAAATACTATTTCAATCATTGCATAAAAGTTATTAAATTGAAAAAGATACTGAATAAAACCTGTCATTATTGATAAAAAAAGTAACAATTGGAAACTCTTAAGTTTTTCCGAGCCACGCCGTTTGTCCTTTTCTTTTGTGTGTTGGTAGAATTTAAAAGAAATGAAGACGATTGACGCCGAATTTTGGTTGTTCCTATTCCCCCTCCCCCCTTCTTTTCTACCGTCCATGGGTGTTGTCTCTAGATTGAAACATTGTGCAGTAATATCTGACCGAAACATTAATCCAATCAAAATGTTTAATGGCCTTTTCAAATATTTTAAACTATAATACAAAAACAGTGTATGTGTTTCTTTGTTTATGACATAAGAATTTGGCTTTG